CCTCTTGAACTATATATTGACTGCCCAGCATGGAAAGAAAATTGCCGTCATCATGAACGGTATGGCTGAACATCCCGGGCCTCGCCTTGCATTGAGTTAGTTAGCTGACGATGAGATGTGTAGAGTTCGGAGACTGTTTGTCTTTCTCTTGCTGCAACCCCTCAGCATAGGTATCTCTGCTAACGCTCAATCTAGCTCTGGACATTGAAAAGTCCCTCACCGTAAACAAGGACGGCGAGTCAGTCGAGGAATGGATGGAAGTTGGCAATGGCTGCATCTGCTGTTCGGTGAAGTGAGTTACCGATGATTGAGCACTTTGTCCCCATCAGCTATAGTACACTGACATTGACCAACATACGATCGTTTCAGAGACACCGGAGTGAATGCCATCGAGTCCCTAATGGAAAAGAAAGGAAAGTTCGACTACATCTTACTCGAAACCACCGGGCTCGCAGACCCAGGGAATCTTGCACCCCTCTTCTGGATGGATGATGGCTTGGGAAGCACCATCTACCTCGACGGCATTGTGACGTTGGTGGACGCCAAAAACATCCTACGGAGCTTGGATGATCCAGCTGGCAAGGTTGAGGGACACGAAGAGACCGATGAACACGGGCATGGGCCAGTCATGACGACCGCTCATGTCCAGATTTCACATGCTGATGTCATCGTAATCAACAAGTCAGACCTGGTCAGCGAGGACGAGCTTCAAGTCGTCCAGGACAGAATCACGTCCATCAACGGGCTCGCCAAAATCCACATAACCAAACAGAGTGTGGTTCCAGAATTGGAAGGATTCTTGCTCGACCTGCACGCTTATGACCGCGTGGAGGAATTGGACAAGCCAAGTCTGGGCCATAGCCATCTCGACAAGGTCAGAGACTCCCTTTCATCTCTCGTGAATGGCTAGCAGGACCTAGACATTTCCTCACTCATATGACCAACTAACATGAGTTTAGACGATATCAACATTATCTATTCCTCTACCGGTCCTGACATCAGCACAAGTCGAAAAACTGGATGCTTGGCTGAGGTCGGTTCTTTGGGAGAACATTCTTCCTGGACATGAGAACGCTGCTGACCGGCCAGCTTTCGAAATCCATCGATTGAAGGGTCGGTTGGTGCTCGAGGACGGTAGCGAGAAGATGGTTCAGGGAGTAAGGGAAATCTTTGAAATTTTCGAGGGCCCAGACAAGAGTCAGGGTCAAGCTGCGGGTAAACTTGTGCTCATCGGGCGTCATCTAGTTGATTTCGACTTCCCAACAAGCCTCCAGAAAACTGTTGATCTTGCCAAAAGCACCTAGCCGTCAGGCACCATATCATAGATGTAGGAAATCAGAACGGAATCCTGACGAACATTGCCTCATACGTGTCAGACCGGTGATGAAAGTCTTAATATTGTTTATACGCTGTGGATTTGGAAGCAGTGTACATCCTGCTCATGATACTGACCGTGGAGAGAAGTCCCATTGGAGGGTCTTCCAATATTTGAGAATAGGGGGACGTCGATGGCCTGGAAGCACGGACCACATATCCTCAAGTTTCCGTCACCTGGACCTTGATCTTGAAGTCTCTAAATGCATGAAAAGAGGGCTTTCAGTCCGCCGAATCAGCGGTTCTTGATCGGAATTGTCTTGCCAGCCTTTAGGTTTCCGTAGTTGTCAACGGTCAATCCGGGCCTGCCAGTGTGCATACCATAACGAAGTGACCTACCTGTAGTAACACCAAACTGGTATGTACCTAGGTACACTGCACCGTCTCCACATCTCGTCCCAGATGGAGGTAGGGACCACTCACTGCACCTGCGCAGCCAGTGCGTGCTGCCCGCCTGGCGTGCAGCTCCCGCTCGTTTCCAAAGCGCGACCGGGCATTCACCTCAAACATCCATTCACTCTGGCAGCGCACCACGACACCACCGCAATCACTCGTCACCTTTCAATCGACGGCACAACTTGCTATTCGCGACACCCGGAAAACAACATTCGTTTTTGCTTCCTTCCGCTCGACCTCTTAGAGACACTGGTCTTACAACCGCAGAATATCATGAATCGGCCAGGTACGGTGGCAATCCCGCCCTCTTCATTCCAACATATCGTCGACTACCCCGCTGTTTGCCCTGCTGCCCTGTCTTCTCGAAATCCGCGATCGCCGACAACCGCTGGATCATGACCACCGCCTACAACTCGCCTACCCGAAACAGATGCTGGACATTGGGCTGGATCGAGATCATGGACAGGCTGGTGGTGCCGCTGCCGAGGCGCCAGCGCGAGCGCATGGACGTTGCCGTCAATATGCTGCTTCTTTGTCCTGCCCGTAACTCGGACTACGGTGTTTGGCATGCAGTGTTCAAAGGCCGGCAACCACGACCAATTTATCTTTGTGCCCCGTCGCGACACCACTCACCAGCCTCTCACAAAGCTGTTCTCGACGTTATCGGTTCCGCTCTTTCCTACAGCGGCAGCGGCGCAGTCTCTCCTACTCCAGACATACACCCCTTATATTACATGCTGTTTTGAAGTTTGTGGACAAGGCTGTTCGATAATTGCTAACATTCTCTCGGATTGATAGGGGCAGTTCCCCAATCTTTGCGCGGCATGTCTGGCTTCGGAGGACAACAACAACAACCACAACAGTCTGGGCGTGGCGTAGCGAACAGGTTACCGAACGGAAAGCTAGGTCAGGACTTTGATAGGCTTTGGGTACAATTTGGCCCATGACTGACGATTAGTCTGGAAATAGGGGCCGTGAGCGGCGGTTCTGGCTGGGCGTTTGGCTCGGGCATGCCCATGGGCGGCAGTCCTGGTGTTCCTCCTGGTTCTGCCAGACAGTTGGGCGGCGGGAATGTCAGCTTTGCGCAAAGTCTAAGTGGGTCACAACCAGCGACCCCGTTGGATCTTTCGTAAGTCCTCGTTCATATCATATTCACCTTGTCGAAATCGGGGGCTTGGGTAATACTGCAGCTCAGACTTTCCTCTCCCATAACTTCACGCTTCGCTCTCCCTACGCATCCCTGCAGCTGCTGTGTTTCCCTGTGCTAACATTACCCAGAGAGTTTCCCACTTTGTCCAACACGTCGCAGTTGTCGACGGCAAATCAGGCTTCAATGTGGTCCACGGGGGCTCGTAACCTCGGAGGAGCAGTACACCGCGGTCCTTCTACACCGCTTTCGCAGCAAGGGCAACAGGATGACTTTTTCTCGTCTCGACAACAATCGGCCCAAGGAGCTTTCAGGTTTGGAAACCAAGGGAACTCGGGGCAAACATCACAAACACCATCTAGTGTTACGGACGACTTTCCTCCGTTGAACAGGAGTGCAAACGGCGAATTAGGTGGCATGCCAGGTTTGGGATTCGGATCTACTTCATCGATTCACCCCAATCGGACAAATAATGGCTTGTTGAACGCGCTGACAGGGAACACGCGCACCACAGACGGGCGTTCACCAACTGCAATTGGACGCCCGCACGACCAAAGGAGCCCGGTCAACGAGGAAGAAGGACGCCAAAAGCCGCCAGTGTATCGGGAGGACGGTATGGTTTCACGCTCTTCAGTGGGCGATGCCGTTTCGCAAGCAATTGGTACCAGGAACCCGCTCGGCGCAATCGGAAACGATCCTCCATCTGCTAAGGGCAAGGAGGAGGATAGGGACCGTACCAACGAAGTCCAAGATCCGTTGGAGGGCATGCCCGCCATCGACAAGTTTGGCTTGAAGGGTTTGCGCACCTTGATGAATAACTTCCCCGACTACAACTCCCTTATTATCGGGATCGATCCTTCCAGTTTGGGGTTGGAGCTGAACTCTTCTGAGTATGTGTAACCGGACTTTCCGCGAGCCCAAGTATCAAGCTGATCTTCTCCAGGCTGTATTCCACCCAAATCTACTCTATACTGGACGATGTCCCTCCCAGGCCGGCTGTGCCAAAGTTCAAGATACCCGAATGCTACATGGTCAAGAACGTACAGCCTATCGAGGCCAAGATTCAGAGCTTTAATGAAGAGACTTTGATGTGGATTTTCTACAGCTGCCCGGGCGACATCAAGCAGCAACTGGCTGCAGCTGAGCTGTAAGAATACTTTCAGTACCTTCCGTTTGATTGTCGTTATGGAGCTGACCAATCTACACAGAACTACGCGGAACTGGAGATGGCACAAGAAGCTTCAAGTGTGGCTTACCAAGGACGAGATGGGTAATACGGCTCAACTAAGCCCAGCTCATGAACGGGGTTACTATATCGTATGGGACACCGTGAACTGGCACAAGGAGCGGGTAAGTAGCGTGCCGTTGGTTCGGCCTTTCGCTTATAGGTGGAATATGCTAACGACCTATCCAGAGAGAGTTTACTTTGTATTATTGTGATTTGGAGACCAACCTCGGCGTCCCAATGCCAGCAATAGGAGCATAAGCTTTCAGACTCATCGGCACGGCATGCATATGCATTCGTGCTTTGGGTTATAGGGAAAGGGCCAGCTCGACACGCCTCGAATGGGTATCCTTCGCAGGGGCGGACATACCTTCCGAGGATTCACCGGGTAGCTCTTTGAGCGGACTACATTGCTTAGGAGGGAGGTTATTAGATATCTGAACCTGCCGGATACAACCCAAGGTATAGCGCTGTTGAATCATCTATGGTCAAGGGGCTCGTCTCAGATGGGAAAAGTTAGAGATATTATGGGTTTCGGTCAGCGAAATTACATAGGAATACCAGCCGTACCGGACAGATCATTATCTGCATAACAACCATGGTCGAAACAACTGTTGCTTGATATTCAAATACTTCCAAGCTCCAACATTTGCGATCAAACTGTCTATGTTTCGGTGCAAGCTTACGCGACGTCTTTCGTTTTGGTAATTACACGCAACCTCCTGGCTGTTACCAGTGCCTACCAACACGTGAAAGTTGTGTAATCATTTCGTTCATTGTTACGCTACGGTCGCAGGCTTGGCATTGCCCCACTGCGGCCGAATTCATGGATGTCACTGCTTTCCCCAACTGCCTCATCACTCTCACCTGTGTACACTATATTCGTCTGTACATAGGAGGCAAACCAACGCTTACCTGTAATTTCGACTTCGCTGGCCACACTACCTATTTCGGGACCATCGTATCCATCAACTGCATCTCGTCACAACGCATTCCTTTCTTTCATCCTCTCCTTGCCACCAATATCGACATCGACTGCCCTTGGCACGCGTCACCTCCCTCAATCCCGTTAGTCATCGGCATCGTCTTGCGACGCGCATCATACGTCAGGCGTTAGGGAGCGAAGCACTTTTCGACGGGGATTTTCAAGCAACAACACAAGCTAGAATTCGCCGGGACAAGAATACTAGATTTCCATTCTATAGATTTTACTCAGCAAACTCCCGCGGCTTCCCGGACTTAGCTGCCCAGTCGAAGGAACCGGTTACTCAGCGACAGCCTAACTTCCACATCTCGCAAACGAACGATTGCGAGAGGGGTCAACAACAACCAAAGATAACAAATCACAATGGCAGAGGAAGAGATTAACATCCCTTCCCTGGTGATCGTACTGTTAGTCACTGGCCTAGCAGTACGCTACTTCTTCTTCAGCGGAAATGCGTCTTCGGCGAATCGCCAGCCGGGCGGGACAGGCGGCGCGACACCAGAGGAGTTGCAAAGACGGAGGGAACGAGAACGAGAAGCGGCGGTCGAAACGATACAACAGATGTTCCCACAGGTAGACAGACGGACTATCCTGTGGGATTTGCAGCGCCATGGGGGAAACTTGCAGGCTACAACAGAAAGGATTTTGGCGGGAAGAACGGAGACTGTAAGTTCCGACCTCTTTTTGATATTCCAAGCTTCGTTCTCCATGCCTCATGGGATGCGCCTTTGCTCGTTCTCTCGTAGAGAGCTTTTGCTAACAGCTGAGTGACAACCATCCTTTAGCCTCCGATCACGTTTCAGCCTCCGCCTCCACCCAGCTCGCCAGAGACAACCGCTGCTGCGCAGCAAAGTGCAGCTGCCGCCGCCGCCAGTAAATACGCGGAAAAGAAGGTCCACCCGGATCTGATCACAAGGTATAACCTGAGGGACAAACTCGCCAGCGCCCCTTCGGAGGATACCGGGGCGGCGGCCGGCGCCCCAAAGACTGGAGGCTGGAGCTCGAATCGCGAGGAGAGGCAGTCGTTACTGCGGAAGAGGAGAGATCAGATGATTATCGAAGCCAGAAGGAAAATGGAGGCCAAGATTGCGGCGGAGAAGGCGGCTGCTGCTGCTGCTTCGGGCTCCGCCGGCGGCGGTGATAACTGAAGGCCCATCGGCTTGAATTTTGGCTCTGTAAGGGGCAGTTTGGGGTGGAACATGTTTGCATGTAATGAAACAGGGTATAGAACCGACAACGCAACTCCAAAAGAGGAAAGGCTGGTGGAAGGGATTTGAGGGAGTTATCACACACATGTCACAGTTTGGGGCGTGTATAGATTGTAAGAGACAAACTAGGCATCATGAGGCTGAACGTGGTCGGATAGATCGGAAGCGTCCTCTGTGGTCAATAGGGGTTATTTGGTGTTTCAGCGTAGCTACAACTTTGTACGAAGACATTCGTATCATGAGGTTGAAAGCCCGATACGTCGCCAGAGGTGGAATTGTTTTTGGAGTCGACCATCGCAGCAAGGTACCTGACACTGCAGCTTGTCTCCAGGTCTCATATGTGCGAGGTCAAACCCTACATCTCTCCTCAGTGGCAACATTCGGCGTTGACATCTTGCAGCCGCTCTTGGCCAGCCAAATGGGTAGCCCTTGCAACTTCCAAAATCAAATTTGAGAAGCTGGCCTTGGACCATCCAAGTCCGTCTCGAATAAACTGGAAGTTATCAACTGGTTATGCAGGATCAATCGGCATCCATGAAGCCAAATGAGGGAACAACATTCAGCCCCAAGGCAGTCCCGCCGACGCCTCCACATAGACGCCCTTCCTTATTGCGCTCAGTGTTCTCGATATCATCGCTCCAGCACCACATATCTCCATTTGGTGACGCGGAAATCCCCCCTACCAAGCTCAAACCCGCCTCCGCTCCATCCACACCTATATCGGCAACACCACCACCCAAACGCGATATAACTGCCCCCAAGAAGATGTCAGAGGCTGGAACCGGATACTTTATGCCTGGCTTGGCCTCTCCAACGAGTACTTCGGAACGTGGACTCGTGCCATTTACAATAACGCCAAAGACGCGGGGAATCGATTGGCGATATGGAGCGCAAGGTGAGCAAACCCCAGCCAATTTTCTCTCGTGCTTCGTTTCGGTTGCTCCCAAGTTGGTCACTAACCTTGTTCGATCTTGACTGTCACTCTCTCCAGGCACAAGTCTCCTCGTGAACGCAGCCGAAGAATCGCGCCGCAGCGTGAACAGCACCTTCAGTTCCAACTTCGAGCGATCAACCTACATAACCGGTCTCCAGAACTTACTCAACGGACTACCACTGGACCTCCGAGAATCCGAAATAACTATACTGCAGCATGCCGTCCCGCCGGCGGTGGTGACCAGGATCATCCAAGAGAGTAGCCCTACTGAGCACAACAAGCCAGAAGTAAAACATAAGGACGTCTACAGGGAAAACGTACTCCACAAGTTCCTCCTCTGGATTTTCTGCCTGGTTGATCGATGGGTCTGGTTCGTTTGGCCGAAACTGCTGTGTTTCTATGTTAGGATGAAACAGGTCAGTCAAGATCACGGACAAGAGGTGGCAGGCAGTCTAGGTAGAGGCGCGTTGTCGGTTGCTAGTGCCATCGTCTTCGTTGTGAACCAGGAACCCGTAATGGAGGCGGCGCGGGGAATTGGCAAATGGGTTTATGAGGGGGTTTCGGGAGCTGTGACGGATTTTGTGGCAATGAAGGTCGCTGAGAGGAGCGAAGGCAGCAACAAGAAGAAGAAGGAGGAGAAGGAGGAGGAGAAGGAAGGAGAGGAGGAGGTCAAGTTGAAGGCATCTTGGTGGGAACGATACTTGTGGTAAGCGATCATGAGTACGACAACAGCGGCAAGAATTATTGGGATAGCGGTATCATATTGGAGGTATTGATTGGGACCTGATTGGAATAGGAACATGCCTCAGACCATCATGTTCACATATGTCCAGTTTCCCACTTTCTCGGTGTTGAGTACTGTATGCCCACGTGTAGAGAGATCGCCATGAGACGGAACGCAAGAGTGTGACGGCTGACCCGACGTTGCGAGATGAGCGGATCTATCTCATGTGAGGCCATGACGGAGACCAATGCTAAGAGAATCTGCTGGACAGATGCCACAGAGCCTGTCGAGAAGTCCAGCTGAGGTACCCTGAGCCGAAACTCGGAGCCGACTGGAATTTCATGTTATTCCGTAGCACGAAGCTGATATGAACACCTTTTGAACCTTTGCCGGCCTCTACAGCGTAGAGAAAGGAGATACTTGGTGTATCGTTTCCTGCGTAGTGTACATAGTGTGGACGAATGAGACAAGGACCAGGGAAGATTGAAGTGGGCAAAGGGGGAGGGTCCTGTTCGGCCCCATGTTTTGCGGAGATGATCTCTTTCCAGTGTTCCTGACTAGCAAATGTACCGTAAGGTAGCTCATCCCTATCTGAAGGTGCACAGGTACACTTAAATACAGACCCTCGAAGATGGGGCTCGGTGCGGAGTAACGGCTGATAAGATAAAGGCGGCTCATACGACAGGGATCTAACTTCAAGCTTCGACTTCGATAGCATGGAAATTTTTTGCTGTTGCAGGTACCAGGCCCTCAGCCACTTGCGCTCTCTTCCCATCTCTTGTTTTTTTTTCCCACCTTTTCCGCCCATCATTCCCATCACACTCGACGCCGACAACGGTTTGACCGATTTCTCTGGTTTGATTGTCCGCCTCTTATTGTCCCCACCCACAATCAATCCATCAACCCAAGTCGTTGACGGATCCGAGTGTGCGCCGCCATCTTATCAGTCCCGTACCGTCGCGTCGCTGTAGCCGTCGCCAACATGAGGACCAGCGTATTGCGCCAGGCCGGCCTCTGCCGTGCTGCCCTCGCTGCCCGCCATCTTCAGATCTCCTCCAAGCCCTCGGCCGCCCTCTTGAGCCAGGTCACCCGCGCCATCGCTGTCCAGTCCCTTCCCTCGGCCTCTCTTCCCCGCTTCTACTCGGCCGAGGCCACTGCCCAAAGCAACACTGCTGCCTCCAATGGCCTCGTTACCCGCTTTGCCGACCTCGCCGCTTTGGGTGTTCATGAGAACGTTGTCCGCGCCATCACTCATGGCATGGGCTACGAGAACATGACCGAAGTCCAGTCTATGACCATTAGCCCCGCTCTCAAGGGCAAGGACATGTATGCCTAGATCCGTCACCTCCATTTCCGCGCTTCCAACAGTTGCTAACGTTAAGCTTCCAGTGTTGCTCAGGCCAAGACCGGAACTGGCAAGACACTTGGTTTCCTCGTCCCTGTGATCCAGAAGATCATCACCCAAGATCCCGACCTCGCCCACAGGTTTGGTGGCAAGAGAGCCCGTTCTGATGATATTCGCGCCATCATCATCTCGCCAACCCGCGAGCTTGCGGAGCAGATCGGAGAGGAGGCTCGTAAGTTGGTCAAGGGAACCGGTATCATCGTCCAGACTGCGGTTGGTGGTACCCAGAAGAACGCTATGCTGTACAAGACCCGTCAGCAGGGCTGCCATATCCTTGTTGGCACCCCCGGTCGCCTGAACGATCTGCTTTCCGACAGCCACAGCGGCATCGACGCCCCCAGACTCTCGACCCTTGTTCTCGACGAGGCCGATAGAATGCTCGAAGTTGGCTTCAATGAGGAGCTTCGCCAGATCATCAACTACCTTCCCGATCGCAAGGTTCTTCCCCGCCAGACTCTGCTTTACTCTGCCACCATTCCCAAGGATGTTGTTGGTCTCGCCAGAAGCTACATCGACAAGAACAACTTCGAATTCGTCCAGACCGTCAAGGCCGATGAAGTTCTGACCCACGACCGTATCCCTCAGTACATTGTTCCCTGCAAGGGTTTCGAGAACATTTACCCGGCCATGCTGGAGCTCATAGAGAAGGCACTCCACGAGTCCAAGACCAACCCCGAGGCTCTTCCTTTCAAGGCCATCGTCTTCTTGCCTACTACCGCTGAGGTTATCATGGCCAATGCGATCTTCAAGCGCCTTCAGTGGAAGTTCAAGCACATTCCCAAAACTTGGGACATTCACTCCAAGCTCACTCAGAACGCCAGAACCCGTGCCGCCGACGAGTTCAAGAACGCGCGTACCGGTATCCTCTTTTCTTCGGACGTTACCGCCAGAGGCATGGATTTCCCCAATGTTTCCCACGTCATCCAGACCCACATTCCCCCCAACAGGGAGCAGTACATTCACCGTCTCGGACGTACCGGCAGAGCCAACAAGCCTGGCCAGGGCTGGCTTATCGTTCCCGACATCGAGCTCCACGCGGCGAGAAGCAGACTTCCCGGTCTCCCCATCAAGCGTAATGACGAGCTCGAGTGCGCTTCCGTCAACGCCGCTGATTCCGGTGCTGACAAGCACGCCAACTTCCAGCACATCCTTGACGCGGCGTCCAGACTCCCTGAGGACCTCTTCAAGGACTGCTACTCGTCCTACCTCGGTGGCGCTCTCCAGGGCATTGATCGCCAAGCCTTGGTCTATGCTCTCAACGACCTCGCCAAGTTTGGTTGGGGCTTGCCGGAGCCCCCTGCCGTCCGCCAGAGCATCATGAAGCACATGGGCCGTGTTCAAGGTCTGAGAGTCGAAACCAGAGAACATTCTATGCGCCCCATGGGTAGCGGACCTGGCCACCGCCGTGATTTCAACTCGCGCGGCCCCCGTCGCCAGTCCGATGATCCCTTCGAGAATGTCCTTCACAGGGCTCAAGATCTCGATCGCCGTCCCACCCGTCGCCAGCAGGCCAGCTTCTAAACTAAGAGCTGGGTCAAACTGTGCATTGGCGACGAATGGGTTGTTTGGTTTTTCCCGCTGAAAGAAGATGCTTGCGGGGTTTTGTCTGCTGAGCGAGACAGACACCTTCTCGAAAACCGTGGTATCGGGTCCCCCATGTATTTTCTTTTCGTACTGTTCGACATTGATACCATCTGTACTATAGCATAATTATCACGGGAAAAGCAAGGCCGGAGTTTCTTTTTGTTTCCATATATTGGGGTGGCTTGTTGTCTATGGAAATGTTATTATAGACAGCGCGGGCAACACACAAAAGAGGAGCAGTACAGTCTTTTTTTAGTTCCGTGGTCACAAGAGAGGAGAAGAATTTTTGTTCAAGAAATGGGATTGGGACTGGGGCACACCTAGACACATTCGGGACTGGAGCTGGGGGGCTGGGGGCGTACTTCTGTTTTTGATTTGTTAGGGAAAAGAATTGGGGCCATCTCGACTTTAGAAGATATTCGTTCACTGTTTTTGAAAATTCCATCATGACACATTCACTGATTTCATCGAGTTTCAACATGAATCGCACATATACATTTACGTGTTGTACGATGCGAATCTGCTCCGCTATCTGTCCGTTGATAGCCACGTTGACCTAAGTTTGAACTCCTTGCTGAAAAACAAAGTATGAGTAAACACTCACCATGAATGACTCCATCTGATCTCACTTGTCGGTCAGTGTCTTGAAAGATGTATTTTCTTCCATCTGAACTAGATCGTCCCCGTGGTAATCGAAGCCCCACAACCCGTTATCAGGTTCTCGACTCTTCTTCATATTTATTTTTTAACATCCCCCATCAACTCATTCATACTCTTCTCCCAACCTGAAGGAGGGCAAATGCTAGGCAACTGCGTGTCGCGTAGATGTTCCTAAACTAGGAGGCCTCGTATAATAATAAATCCTCCATTCTCCCTCTCCCCGCCGTATCTTGCCCACCCCCTTCCCATTTCTTCCCACCTCTTCCCTTCTTCTCCTCGTGGTATATATATATATATATATATATCAGCCTCATCAATCTTGTCCCAAGTTTCCCTGCTTTCTAGTTCCCACCAGCACCACCCCCTCCTCCTCCGCCGCCACCACCCTGCTGCCCACCAAAAAAGAATCCTTCAAACAAATCCAACTGCTGTCCATCGCTAAAATCATGATGGTTCCCTTCCCACCCGATACCAAAGCCTAGATCCATCTGTCCCACTACCTCAGCCGGGTTCAGGTTCACGTTCAAATTCGCCAGATCTCCTCCATTACTAATGTCCATACCACCAGCGGCGCCGCCATCAACACTTTGCAAGAACTCTAAGCCTTGTAGATCACTGAAGCTTAGTGTGCCGGGACTATTGGAGTATGCTTGTTGTTGCTGTTGTTGCTGTTGCTGTAAATAGTCATTTGGCGTCCCTCCGCGTTGTTGTTGTTGCTGTTGTGGCTTGGCCCCGATAATTGGCGATCCACCCATCTGAGCAGGCGGCGTTAAGGGGTTACTAAGTCCTTGTCCTTGCCGTTGTTGGTGCTGTTGGATGGCGCTCGGCGAGGGCATCAAGTTCGGATCAATGGAGGTCTCGCCTGCTGGGCTTTGAGCCATCGGTCCCCCGCCGCCAGAGGCGGCTTCCGCAATGGAGCTTGCGTTGCTATGTGGTGGCGGAGGTGGGTTTCGCATGAGAGAGAAGCCGCCTTCCTGCTCGCTCTTGATCGCGGCGGCAGCAGCGGCACCGGACATGCGGAACTGTTGGGCCTGTTGGAAGGCGGAAAGCTGAGATGCTGATGAGACGGAGTAGGCGTCGGAAGCGAGATCGCTGTACTGCGACGAAGGATTTCGGAGCATAGGTGGGCGATGGCGGTGTTGTTGTTGTTGTTGGTGGTGCTGGCGATGTTGCTGCTGTTGTTGTTGTTGCTGCATTCTATAGTGTTGCAAACTAGAAGCAGCAGAATCGCTCTGTGAGCTCCAGTCGAGACGCTGATCAATGCTTCCCCCAGGACGTCGTATGTGGGTGTTGTTTCCATATCCGCCGGACAAGTCCTGGCCCTGGCCGAAGCCTCCAGTCGAGTTTGCCATTTTGATGGTTGCTTTGGCGGTGCGATCAAAGGCATCTCGACAAGCTTCTGCTGGCGGACATTTATCTATCAGGTCTGTAAAAACGGATTTGGCAGCCAAAATCGTGAAGTCGACTTCATCCACGGTCTATAAGGGGGTGCGCGTTAGCCTGTGAAAAGCAGTAGAATAATCAGCAAAAAAAGGTGTGTTTTCTTACAAGTCTGCTCCTCACGATAGGGGAATGCCAGATCGCATAAAGATAAGATATTCCGGCCATGAACAAATGGTGGGTGGCCAGATATGTATAGTTGACCAGGCCCACACGGTGCAATTGGCGGTAAAGGCGCAAGATACGCTGGCCTGCCTCGGCAACCTTGAGATACACGCGGTCTTCATCCTCCCGAAGCTCCATGTTGAACATTGTCGGGCTGTTGACCTCCTTTGACGTGTGATATTCACCTTCGAACAAGGCTGGCACACTTAGACTTTGGCGATAGAGCATAATGACAGCCTGCCAGTAGTTAAGGTCAAAGAATTCAGGCGAAAATTGTACGCCAGTCTGCTGCCGTGTTGGTGCAGAATTTTTCCACTCCCATAGTCTCCTGTCGATATCAATGCGCCATGCTCGGAAGGTTTCGAACTGTGACAAGAACGGCGATGGAAGAGATGTATGCATGTAAGGGTTCTTCTGGTTCAGTCCAGAGGCTCGAGCAAGCTGTGATTGCTGGAATTGCAAGACTTGAAGAACTTCTGACTGGAGCAGCCTAAGACGGAAGTAGTGATGTGCGATGAGTTTGTAAGTCGGTCCTATCATGTCGGGGGGTGGTTCAAGCAAGCCGCTTGGCGTAATGAATCGATCATCTAGGAGAGAGGGGAACTCTGTGGTAATGACTTGATCTGATATGCCAAATGGCCTGCCGACGCAAACACTGACGAGGCGATCGAGTGAATAGGTGCACCACCACAGACGCCGCCTGAGATCACGCATATACTCCCTTCTTCCCCTTTCCCGCGAGAATGCTTCGCTCTGATCTCCGATCCCTAGACCAGATTCAATGTCCTTACCGTCTTCGTAGTGTAGGCCGAGATCGACCGCCAACCTGATGGCGACGCCGACGATGTACCACAGCCCGGGAGGAACCGGCCTCAACAAGGCAAAGTTGGCGAGAAGCAAGACGGCCTGTAACTCTTCCAAACCACCGGCACTGTTGCCAAGACAAGCCTCAAGATGAACAATGGCACTAGCATGATATTCTTCTGGCTGGCACTGTCTTGTGTTGTCATCAGTTTTACCTGGCGCTTCTGCCGATCCACTGGCCTTGGTCGATTCTCCCACAATGATGCCGCCGCCTATCGCGAAGACCATGTTCAACATGTAAAGTTCTCGTGGCCCCCGTACACGGTTTTCTTCGGCATAAGCTTGCTCAAACATTTCCAGGAACTCGCCCTTGTGGAGCACAGGCATTTGGGGGTTCGCATGCTCAAAGTAAAGCGACATCAGCTTTTCGCCCAAAGCCCTGCTGGGGAATGTTGCCGGATGAATCGTCGGTTTTGTGTGCAAGCCAAAGAAGGAGTCTCTCATAGACGTTCCGGCGGTGGCGGGGCCATTGTTGGGAGCAGGCTTGTAGGGGCGGATGCCAGCTTTGTCCGAGGTGGACTTCTGATCGGATACCGACGACTGCACCGCAGCGAAAACAATGCGTGCAAAAGATATTCCCGAGGTAGATCCTAAATAGCGAGGGTTTGCCGTTGCGGATACGCCACCAAGGTCAGACTTGGACACCAGTTTCTGTAGTCTGACCACATCATCTCCCTCATTCTGTGGTCTTTGATTGTTGATGCTATCTGGTGTTTCTAGTTGTGAGGGATGCCCGCTCGTGTCCACCTGGGTCGAGTGGACATGGCGCGGCCTATCTCCCTTCTTGGAACAGTAGTCCAAATTTTCGGCCGGCGGGAAAGTGATGTTGTTATCCTTGAGCAGATGCTCCAGTTGCTCTACTCGTTTCTCGAGGTAAAAGATATAACTGGGACAGCACGGCGTCAGCACTTTTGCTATTCACAGGCAGGAAGCGAGGCGTTGGTGACGATGGGTTATGGCGGGAACCTTAATGATTGGGTCCCGGCCGTGTGGGGGGGGGGGGGGGGGTCTGACCTCCTCGGGATCTCTCTCTTGGTGATGGGATCATAGCCAACGCAGGCAACATTGGCCTTTTCGCAACTGGCACAACTCGGTAGCTTCTGGTCACAGCGATTTTTGCGAAGCCTACATCGGTTACAAGCGCTCACGTTGCGGAAGCTGCTGCTTTGTCCGGCCTTGCCCCCCGTCGACCCGCCTCCCTGGCCTCCATGAGCGGCGCCAGACCCGTCAAGTAGAAGCTCGTTAGCGGGAGACGGAGCTTCCCCAGACGGAACCGAAGCCGGAGAGTCTCGTTCCGGGGACGATTGGCGCGGTCGCTTGTTTGGGTGGTGGTTCGGGGACGGAGGAGTGTGCGCCGGCATTATGCCAGGCTGCTCAGTAGAGCACCTCCAATCAGTCCCGCTGTCCCTGTGTGACCGGTCTCGCAGTGCGGTCCGGTTTGGCGTGCGAGGCGTGGGCGCGTGGATCAAGTGCGCGTCTGCTACCTGTCCGGCTGCTGGGCTGTTGCGTTGGTTGGTTTTTTTGTTGGGGAATGCGAATCCAGATCCGAGGCTTGACCGACAATGAGTGGCCTGAATGAACGGTAGTGTAGTGTAGTGAGTGGTAATCGAAACGGAGGAGGACCCTAGAAGCGACCCTCGTGATGCTCGGCCGCCAGGGCCGTTGTTGGTTTGCGCGGTCGAGCCGTGGAAAAAAATAGCTACAATCCTTGTTGGCGCGGGCAGGGTCGAATACGTCCGGGTTTCGTCGCGGGTCACACTAGACTGACGGACGGTAGCATCATTATTGGAACTCGGCGGACTTTTATCTATGATGCGATGCAAGAGGAACGAACCAAAGGCGGGCGGCACGCGGAGAGCGGCAACGGCGCAGGCGTAGTGCAGATAATGGGCCTAGTATTGAGGGCAGGTGGATAGCGGACGTTGATAGCAAGTGGAGAGGTTCGTTGATAGGCATGGTATGTAGGTCGGTCCCTCTCCGGTGCCCGCGCGTCGTACCATAGGCTCTGCAACCCCAGCCAACCTAAGTAGGTGGAAATCGCGGGGCGGCACTACACTAGAGGTGGTCCCTTGCACTTGCTCTATGCGTCTAACGCAAGACATTACAACGGATGAACCACCCACTGCAATTTGATGAACTACTGACACCAGCTGTGCTTCGAACCCCGCAAACTTTCAAGCTTAGAGGTACATACCACGTACCCATTACCGGTCTATTGGAGAAGTCAAGACGTTCCAAGAAGCACAGAATAGGTATCGGACAGCAGACCACGAACGCTCCCCCTTCTTTCAAGTGGGTTATAAAACCCGTGGTGACCCCATCCTTATAATACACTGGACACTCCGTCCTTACGCAACACAGTCCAACCGCGCAGACGGCTTCAAGCTCCGGGCCATGATCGAACTCCCTCGGAACATCAAGAATTGACATTGAACCATTCGTCCTAAAGTGGTGCGGTGTGAGATGGATTCCATGAACTTGGATGCTTGCTCATCCACCCCCAGCACGTCACTATGTAGGTACGCTAGCTTCATTCACGATCACAACCTTCTGATAAGGGACCCTAGCGTCTAGCGAATCACCAACCACAAACCCCCACTCCTTTTCTGTCTCATCAAGAGATGCCCTACTACACTTACTACGTACATCACAGATGCATGCGAGCTTGACGTTGGGATCCAATCAGAAACCCGTTTTGGTATGTTCCTGTTAGACTTGGCACACTCATGGTATATCCTATTATCATAAGGAGAATATTCTAATGTGCATATGAGCATTTCCAGAGGGGACACACGTTGGCATTTATTTACACATCAGAAGAACCGATTTGATAAGCTCATCCAGCAAGCACCCTTTCGAGACTACGAGCGAGGCATGTGTACAGTATAGTGTACAGTCGCATTGAAAGCTGAAAAATACAAAAAAAGGTATCATCCGTATGCCGTACATCCTTAGAAAAAGCGACCGACTCCAATTTCCTTTCTTTGCCAAGCTCTCCAAATCCCTTACAAAAACACCGGATATACGGGTATACGAAGTAAAGCGAACGACCGTTGTTTGTACAATGCCCAACACCCAGACCCCAGACCACATGCGAAAACCACGAAAGAACCGGCACGCTCCAAGCTCTCTCAATACGAGATATCATGCGTGCCCAGAAAAGCAAAACCTAAAAGAGTCACTGTCCAGCTATATTCCCAACCAAGCGCCGACCCAAACACACACACACAAAAAGAAAAAAAAAGAGAAAAAAAAAAAAAAAGAATAAAGTCGTATACGCCAGTCTTGCCACGTGCGGATATCAGTCTCTTTGGGTTGTTCTTGTGGCCAAGTTGATGGTTATGGTGGGCTCAGCCGCCACCGGTTCGACTGCATCTCTCGTTGTTGCCGAATGTCCAGCAGCAGGCACAGGCTCCTCGATCTCCTCTTTCCCATCAAACCTCCCCCTGGGTTCGGTAATGCCGAAGCTGAGAAACGACGCCCCGATCGTCACAAAGGCCGTGAACCACCAAACCATGCCGCAGTATCCCGCCCTTAGTCCGATTGTGTAAAGGTATCCCGACACAATCGGTCCCATGGCGCGGCACAGACTGGCTATCGAGGCCGCTACGCCGTTGATCGTTCCGAGCATCAAGGTCGAGGGTGCCGAGTTGGTCAGGAGGATCGCGTTGCTGGGGTAGGCCATGGTGGCGAGTGTGCACTTCCAAATGATCAGGATGTAGACGCCGGCCATGCGGAGGCTGGAGGGTAGCAGAACGAAGTAGGGCGTAGCGAAGTAGAGCAACGGGTACGACATTGAGATGATCTGGAACAGACGAAGCGCGCCGAGACGACCGGTGATTCTGGGGAAGAAGAACGAGGTGGAGATCATCGAGTAGAGACCCTGGATGGACAAGATAATGCCGACGGTTCGGGTGTCATATCCAAAGCCGTCTGCGAACTTGAATGGTAGCGACCAGCTATCTTGGGTGCCAGTGGGCTCGGTGCTGAGGAAGACCGGGAGAAGAGAATCCAGAGTCATGGTGTGGCTATAGAGTACAATGTTGTCAGTACCGTTCAACATGTCGGTTGCAGTAGAATGTGGACCTACAAAGCAAGAAGGCCGTAGTTGATGATAATGAAGATGATCGGTTTGGTAAAAGTTCTTTCGGGCTTTTCGGACTGGGCCTCCACCATCTCCCCCGTCGACTCAAGATCGAGCGGCTCCTGCATAATCGGGCCCTCGACCGAAGTAAGCTCTGGCGATCCATCTGCAGTCCGGTATCCGGGCAGCGACTCGTCCGTTTCGCCAAGCAAAGGCTGATCCTCCCCGTTCTTTCCCCTTCGGAGTCGTCGCCGGAAACAATTGTTCTTTCCGAAAAGCCGAGAGGTCAAATATCTGCCGAGCTCAACACCGCGGTCTCGTCGATACTTCTTTTCGGCGTGAGTCTCCTCGAGGAACAGAAAGCCGACGGCAAGCCCGAAAAACACACACATGCCGCTGAAAAGGTTAGGCAGCAAATATGGGAAGCGGTCCCAGATGCTCCCGGGCTGGAAGACGGTTGGGATCCAATCCACTGGCTTTGCAAGCGTACCACCAATCATGGGGCCAACAATCGATCTGTAAAAGAGTCAGCATGCTTGCAAACTTTGACGTGGGCTTCTTCTGAATGTGTTGAACCGTACCCTATGCACCACACAATAGGCATAACCGTGTATGCCCGTGGCTGATGTTCCTTCACAGTAACCAACTCTCCAACAGTGGTTTGCAAGACGCCCATGTTACTGCTCCCCCCCACCCAATGTGTCAGCTCAGTTCCATCAATCTCGATCTTTCCCCAAGTAATACCGAGTGCCTCCCATGATCGATAACTCACCCGTTCAGAATTCCACCCAAAGCACGGGCAAGCAAGGCGACTGGAAGGCTCGGCGCAAAACCGAACAGGATGACGCTGAGACCCGTGCCGCCCATTCCCGTCAGAAGAACCGGCTTCCGGCCGATTTTGTCGCTCAGTCGTCCCCACAAGAAGCCCGCCAGAAACTCGGCCAAGGTGAAAGAGGACGTCACCCAACCGGCGTACATGGAGATTTTGCTTTCGTCATTGGTGATGTTGAAATCCTTGACCATGTGGTAGACGTAGGGGAAGATCGACATGAAGGCGATGGGTTCGCATATCCGGCACAAGGCTGTTATTGCCATCTTAGTTCTGTTGTCCCATGCTTTCTTGCTCTTCCTTTCTGGTGGTCACACAAGCACCAAAAGATGAATAAAGACATACCGAGAATGAGCAACTGCCGCTTCGGGTACGGCGGTGGTGACCGCTTTTCTGAAGCCTTTTTCACTCCATGCCTGACAGCGGCCACTGTACGAGCAGGTCCAACTGCCATGTTGCCTGAGTTGTGCCTGGGACCAGAGATGTTGCCGAAAAGAGAATCTGCCTAGGGATCTGTTGGAGGAGACTCCAAAGCGGCCGGCCAGTGCCGGCAGTGACCGACAATCGTCAAGACGTGTTGAGATACCAGTCCAGCAAGGACCAAGGCTGACGGATGACTTGCCGAAGCAGGGTGGGACAGGACGTATATATATCAAACAGAATCGTTATACCGAAGTGACCGGAGACAGGGGACGTGAGGGACAGAGAGATGAACTGAGTAAGCTGGGAGGGGGAGTGAGACGGATATACATTTGAGAAAGAGTGAGGAGGACTGATCAAGGGACTACGTGCTATATACGTAAGTAGGTAGTCATGGACGATTACATGACAGGCAGGGGACCCGACCGAGTCAGCCAGCATCTCCAGCGGCTATCGCCAAAAAGAAGGCGGCCAAGGCGCCGGACGGGCTGAGAAGAACAACATGGTCACCAGATCATCCGTTGAGGACGAGGTTGTGTGGACCCCTTGAGGGAACCGCCGCTGGCAAGCATATTGCGTACATGAATGATGGCTGTTGGGATTGGGAACAGGGCCCCGGGACTGGAGGAGAAGCGAGCGAGGAGGACGTATCCGTAATCAGGCGTAGGGAACGTTGAAACAGCGGTGACAAGCAAGAAACTTTGGTGCTGTACATGGCGAGGAGTAAAAGCCCAAGATGATCCTACTTTTTCTTGAAAGAAAAAAAAAACCAAACCCCGGACTGCCGTAGCTGGAGTAGGTCAGGTACCAAGGCAAGGAACAGGGCCTCAGCGTACAAGCTGTAATGATACAGGGCTATCCATGGTCGGTGCTGAACTCGCGCACAGTGTTTGCTGGCGTGCCATTGATGGACCAGGGCAGTAGTGCACATCAGCGCCGTACAGCTACAGCAAGTGGAACTGTAAGATTCTGTCTTACCTGCACGGGCTGGTACATCCGCCCATGGCAGTGATCTGGGGCGGTACCCTCGAGGTAGCGCTACCCTGAAGGGTGACGATGGAGGCGTATCGATGTACCTACACTAACTTTGGTACACTACCTACCTACCCACCCAAGGACTGGTAGACGCTAGCTGTTCGGTTTTTTTTTTGTGTTTCAACCACTTCCCTCTTCTTGGTTGCTCTCTTTTTCTTTTCTTTTTGTTTTCTTCTTTTCTTCTTTCGCCACCCTCAGATCGCTTTACCCTATTCCACCCTCAGCTGCGGATTTGATGGATGGACCCCGCCATAAAGGTAAAGTGGCCGCTTCCCGAGTGTGATCCATGTCTGGGTCTACCATTGCTTTTTGTAACACTACGTTGGTAAATGTTGAGCTCCTGACTCCTGAGGCTGCTGTTATGGTCGGTCGTGGCCATCCTTGGCCTTGGCTTAATCTCAGTACCCACGTATCGCATATCGCGGTCCCGTACAAAACAAGACAAAACAGAAGTGGAAATCGCGTCGAGTGAGTTGTAGGGCCTATGCCTGTAGACCCCGACCACGGACTTCCCTTGAATACCTAACCGGCCTGCCCTTATGGTCCAAAGCCGTCTACTTGTCCCTTTTGTCTCTTTTCGGATCGAGGACCGGTTACCTGCGTCCGCGAGTCGTGACCAATCCAGCTTTCCCGGTTTCAACTCATGTCCAGAAGACTCAGGGCGGTATGATAGCCAGACCGGCTGGGCCCTTTTGTCGCTCCTCCAGCAACCTATTCACCTCCAACGCGCGGGCTGGGCTGCGTGTGATGGACACGCTTTATTGCTTGCTGACAGGAGAGTACGGTTGGGTTGGAAAACACCTTGCACGACAGCGGGCCGGTAGACCGCCTTATCCCACGAACCTCTTACGTCGACTGACTACCACCACCACCACCACCTGAGCTGTGGCTGCATCACCTTCGGACAATGGGTTGAACAGGTAAGCCGATCAGGTCAAACGGGTCTGAACCGGTCGGGATACACATATAGGCATGCCCGCAAGAGCTGCCTTGTCCGGAACAGAGTAGACAAGCAGCGATGATAGAAAGTCCGAGCGAGGTGAGATGCATCTTCTTATTGTTGTTAAAACGGAACCAAGGATATATGTACCTACAGTAGTATTTCTACGCATAAGCGCGTTGTGCACATACACGCACGTACAGCGTTCGTCTCAATGGGAGAAACACTGTTCCGTGCTTGCAGTCGAACCACAGCTTCGGGACCATCAGGATGAAGACCTGCGCTCACAATTTGGAGCAATGTGAAAGATGATCCAGCTACGTTGATGGGGAACCTCCAGGCAATTGAGACACAAGGTAATTGATGCGTGCCTTCGCGCCTCAGTACTGTCTGTTGTATGGTCAGGATGAGTATGGAAGCTGTAGCTGTCGTACTGACTACACTACATGACACAGATTCGGTATTTGAGTGCATGGCTTTTGTGGGTTAGTCGACCGGGGACCGGTAACGGGCAGGGAGATGATGACAGGCAATCACTGGGAACGAGGGGGATGTCACGAATCAAAAGTGAGGCGCCAATTGACCATTCCCATCGAGGCATGGTACGACCGATCACAGCAACATTTTAGCACCACGCTTCCCGCAAAATCTCGTCAAAGCAGCGAAAATCTTCCTAACTGCATGACGATTGAATGACAGGCTGTGAGATTGGCGTGGCGGTTCTTGTGTGGAGGAAGCAAGGCCTTGCTCTCCTGGATCCCCAGCAGCAGTCCAGGTACTGTAGCGTGTTGGTAGCTCAATGGTGGACCACAGTCCGCGGCTCGCGTGGGTAATTGCTGAAGTGACGAAGTGGACAAGCTTGCGCCGAGCCCGACCCTAGACATGCGTCGGAATGTCGTTGCGAACTAAGAAGAGGCTCGCGACGGTGGTCTGGAGGGAGGCGGTGAATGGAGAGAGAGAGAGAGAGAGAGAGAGAGAGAGAGAAATTGAATCAAAATTTGGAAAGAAAAGACGCCCCGGACAAGTCGGGAGACGGAAGGGTTCACGTCGGTGGGACTGCATCCGGCGTAGCGGACCAGGAGGAACAGGCTGGATATCAGCTATCAGGGAGCCTCATCAGCGACACGCGAGAAGGTACCGTGTTAAAGGGAACTGGATACATCATGATGGAATAGTACACAGTGGCTGGTACCTCAAGGCTCCTTCCACACTGTGCCGTTGATAATGTGAGATGCTCCGGATTTATCACGCCGGCCTCCAAGCCGAAGGACTGCGATATAGGCCCTGTTATGAAGCATGAGTATAGGACAAGGCTATGTACGCAGTAATGAAAAAGACGTGACTGGTGTGCAATGCAGACAGGTAGAGTTAAGGACACAAGGAAGATGATGAATTGACTCGCTTCTCCACAAAGTCTAGGTTGAGGGAAAGTCGAGGTGTGACAATCGGCTCGCGCATCCAAGTCCATGGAGGAAAACGGGGAGAAGAGGAGAGCGGATGCAGCAGTCATCATGAATACCAATGAGCGGAAGCTTGTTGTTATCCGCTGTTCCAGCGCTTGCCAAGTACTGAAACAGAAAAACCAAGGTGCGCTTGGTTTACAGCTCGAACTTTGCAGGAGATTGGCGTCTTGTATCAATTGGACTCAAACACTTCATTGGAGCAATGACACAAAGCAAGACCCTGGAAAACCATGACTTACATACATACCTAGGGACCTGCCAGCAAGGGGCCCGACCGAGTCCTGCCCTGGCTATGCCCTTTTCATCACGGATTGGGGAGCTCTTCCAAGACGGTCCCAGACGGCTAGAGCCATGATCCAGCCGAGATGTGATATGGATTGGATCGTTGTCGACATTTCTCTCCCTCCAACTTGCCTGTTCCGTCCTTTGCGCGAAGTAGCCACGCAAACATCGGCCACTAGACTACTAAGGTGGAAATTTAAGTTCGGACTCAAGACCGTTGGCAAAGTTGGGTACTCCCGCCGTGCAGTAGTTCAAGCAGGTGTATGGCCGCGCTTTGAATTGGATCGCCTGCTGCCCTATTGATCTTAACCGAGATCTACCTAAGTGGATGGTGATATTCCCTGCGCACTGGGTAGGTGACAACAATGCAGGTTTCGCTAACGGCTACCTTGCCCAGCAAGCGCCGATAGCCTCGGAGCCAGATCATCTTGCCTTTGCGCGAGAGCTAACTGTATCTCCATTCTGCGCCATGTGACGTCGGAGGGAGTTCCGTCTACCGCTTCTACTCATCCAACAAATGTCCTCTTTTGGGGAAATTCACAGCTTATGCGGGCGATTTTAGCCCGCTCTTAGCTACATAAGCAGCATCTTCCCAACGGGATTCGTTTATAATCCTGGCATAGGTAGTCCACAGAGCATATCCATTACGACGGGAATGCGTACTTGCGGTATGCTTCTTACAAAATCGTACGCTGCGTCAATGCCTGACGAGAAAGAGGGTCTAATGGCTGGGTTAGCGCTATTCTACCCCATAGCTTGTGCGTCCAAACGCATATCTGCTATACAGTACCGCCCCCTGATTCCTCTGTATATAATACTGCCACAAAAATGGTATGCACTAAATAGCAGATCTAAACTGCACTAGACTGAAAGCTACCCCAGAATAGAAGGCAAAACAGAGGCCGCAACACCAAAAGTTAACGCCCTACTAAGGTCTTCAGTGCTTAGGACGGGGTCCTGATGCCCCTGGAGCATATACACCGAAGAATGTCCGGAGTCGCATACAGTATGCAACTATGCACTTGTAGCTGGAACACAGTTCTGACAGCCCGATCCTATGCACTAACCAGCGTATGTACAT